TAGAAGTATCAATACTGGGTTTGATTTGTTCTTTCCAGCTCACTGAAGTAACTGAAAGCCTGACTCACGTCTCATCTGAATATGGCAAGCTACTGGCAGAAAAAGAACAAATTGAAAGAACAATGAATGAGCAAGTTTGTCAGCAGCTTGAGAAAATCACTGTACTTAATAAGGAGAAAGATGAGCTACAGCAAATGGTGGAGGCTTGTAAAGAAAGGGAAGAACATTTGTTAAAGGCTCAGAGACAGTCAGAGATTTTGGAGGAAAGGCTTACAAGCAAGGTGAAGAGTTTTGGGGTTTAGTAGCTATTTTGTCTTCTGATGTTTGATTACTGGTGTGTTGAACTTTTGCTCATCACAAAGCCTGTTAAATTTTTAAATCTCAGTGTGTCATTTTCATGTATTGCTCAAGAATCATGAACATGGGCAAAGGAGTTTGTTCAAGTTTCTCTACTGATATTTAGAAGTATCATCCTTAACTTGTCTCAGCTTTGTAACCAATTGGGTTTGTCAGTGCTTTGGAATAAGTGCCAATTTAGCAAATGTGTGTAGGTTTAATATAATGATCGGTAATTGGACATGTATTTTGACTTGAAAAGGCACTGTGTAGACAGCGTGAACCTAAGTGGGTTTGGAATTCTTAGTCCTTTACAGCTTTTCTGAAAAACAGTCTTGATTTTGGAGCTTTTCTGGTTTGGTCCGAGTGGTTTGATGTTAAAAATACTGTAGGAAGGTAAATCAAGCAAACGTTTTGCATTTAATTTTGATTTGGGATTGATGGAACTGCTGTCCTTGTTTATTTTTTTTATAGATCTCACAAATGACAGAAGAAATTAAAATCATCACCTCAGAGAGAGATCAGCTTGCTGAGGAAAAATCAGAAAGCCATAGCTGTAGAGAAGGTGATCAGCTTCAGGAGCTAAAACTGCAACTGGAAGATCTCCAGAACGAGAGAGACCAGCTAAGAGAAACTGTACAGGAGACAATAAGAAAGGTAATAAAAGTAGTCCTATTCCTGTAGGATAGGAGCTTTAGTAAACTTGTGCCTTAGATTTTGGAAGTGCTGTTCAGGTGTTAATGTATTTCAATTGTGTCCAAAGAATTCAGAGATGCAGGAGGAGTTGCAGTGTACTCACAGATCTCTTGGACAACAGCAGGAGACTATTGTGGAGCTGAAAGGGAACATTTCAGAGAAAGAAAATCAACTCTTGAAAGCTCAGGCGGCATTGAAGGGAAAAACTGATGAACTGCAACAGAAGGTCAGAAAGAGTTTTGTCAAGTATATTAAAAATTCCATCATGTATGGCAACCCATGTCTTCTGCAGACTTCAGTTTGCAGGGGTCCAATAAATGAAACTTAGTTGATAGTTTTTCCTTTCTTTTTTTGCTCTGTACTGCTTTTCGAAAGAATTCCATGAAAACAGAGACAGTGAAAGGATGATCCAATGCAATTTGACCTGCAACCTACCTACCACCCCTATTTATAACTTGTATCTGCATGGCTTAAGCTTTTAGGCTTTTAGTGTTCATTCTTACACATGGTAATGTCTTCTATCTGGTGTGGATAAAGCAATGGAGACACTTCTCTGGAACTAGAATGGCCTGTAGGATTTTCCCGCATTTACTTTTGACTGCCAGTGAGAGAGAAGCACTGACATTTTATAGACTTTTAAGAAAACTGTTATACTTTTTTATGCTTATTATAATAATCTAGTTCTAACAACTCGTATGTGCAAACAATGCTTATGAAATATGATCCAATAACACTTTCCTTATATCAGAACCTGACTAGTGGGACAGGAAAATTTAGTAACTTGGAATGTTACTGCTTGGGTTTTCTCCAAAATATCAAATGAATTCTACCCTCCCTGCAGATGATTAGAAATATTAATACTGGGTTTGATTTGTTCTTTCCAGCTCACTGAAGTAACTGAAAGCCTGACTCACGTCTCATCTGAATATGGCAAGCTACTGGCAGAAAAAGAACAAATTGAAAGAACAATGAATGAGCAAGTTTGTCAGCAGCTTGAGAAAATCACTGTTCTTAATAAAGAGAAAGATGAGCTACAGCAAATGGTGGAGACTTGTAAAGAAAGGGAAGAACATTTGTTAAAGGTTCAGAGACGGTCAGAGATTTTGGAGGACAGCCTGACAAGCAAGGTGAAGAGTTTTGGGATTTAGTAGCTATTTTGTCTTCAGATGTTTGATTACTGGTGTGTTGAACTTTTGCTCAACGCAAAGCCCATTTAATTTTTAATTCTCAGCATGCCATTTTTATGGTTGCTCAAGAATCATGAACATGGGCAAAGGATTTTGTACAAGTTTCTCTACTGATATTTAGGAATATCATCCTTAATTTGTCTCCAATGTAACCAATTGGGTTTGTCAGTGCTTTGCATCTAGGTTTAATATAATGATCAGTAATTGGACATGTATTTTGACTTGAAAAGGCACTGTGTAGACAGCGTGAACCTAAGTGGGTTTGGAATTCTTAGTGCTTTGCCCACATTCTGTATAACAGATAAAGTTTGAGAGTCTTGCACTCAGCTGTTGCCAATTCAGTGTTTTTGCAGTCTTCACTCCTTAGCCTTTTACTTGTCAAACTCTTCCTTTGTTGATCAAAAAGTATGATTGAGGATTGCTTCAGATTAGGAAATATTACTGTTCATTAGATCAAAGATAAAGAAAAATCCAGTGTCCATCCTTTGTGCCTATTTCCTTTAATTTTCTTGTGATATGGACATATGTTGACTGCCTCTTCATTTTTTTCTTGCTTTACAGAAAACTGAAGGTGACTAAGAGTTCTCTGGGTGTCATGCTACTCCTTTTCTTTAGAATTTCTTTTTCTGAGTTATTAGAACAGCAAAATTATCTCTTGCTGTTAATGTGAATTTTAGTTATTGGAAATTGTGTTCTTTGTATTTGACACAGCTGATCTGAGTATTTCAGAGGGTAGTATTCAAAGGGGAGTATTCAGGCCATGACTAAATTGTAATTTGTGTTTATCTTTCTCCACCATTTATTGTAGATTCAGCAGTTAACTGACACACTAACTAGTGTATCATGTGAAAAGGACCAGTTATTAGCTGAAAGAACTAGTCACTCTTTCCAACTTAGAGAACAAATTGCATCAGTTAATCAAGAAAAAGATGAGCTACAAAAACTCCTTCAGGACGTCAGGACTGAGCGGGACCAGCTCAAGACAGAACTGCAAAGAAATTCTGAGATGGTGGGTGTTGCAATTTGCATATCTAAGTTACTCAAATCCTCTTCTTGAATGGTACTTAAATATGTGTGGTTTTATTTTAGTGTGCTGAAACAAATGCGAAACTGGAACGTGCTTTAGACCAACTGAAGCAGAGGAACATGAATGATGTGTCTGTTCACGTAAACCCCGTGGTTATGGCAGAGCAGGTGGCTGATGACAGCCTGAAGGAAAAAAGCTTGAACATTAAGGTAAACTTATTTCTCTGGTTCTTCTAAGGATGCATGTAAAATCTTAATACCACTTTTCCTGGAGCATAAACCTTTTGTTTTATGTATAAAATAGTTTGCGTATCTTGCTAAGATGCAAACCATGGGATCAGTTGATTTGCTGTTGCTGTTCAGTGACTGCACATCTTGTCTTAACTGAAAACTTCAGTTTAATGTTTACAGAAAATCTTACTTGCTTTCATTACTGTCCAGCCACCGATTTTTTGCACACACCCCCCAAATGCTCCCTTCCATTACTCCCTCTCAAATAATAAGTTGGTTTCAAATAAATTAATTCCTGTAATTCCTCAGACCTTTTGTTAGTTGACTATCCTGAGTACACTTTCACGTAGATATGAGAAGTTCTATTAACCTACTGAAAGCCAAAATAAACAAGGATTTATGAATATGTATGGAACATTTTTAAGTACAGTGCTATGGTACTGCAGACTATATGTCTGTGCAGCAGATTCAGGCATGATTCTATCTGTGCTACAGGAGCCTTGAGTGCTGCTTCAGTTAACAACAAAAGCAAAAATCAGTCACATGTAGCTTTCTCCATTTGCACTGTCCTTCTATCCTACATCAGCAGTAGGGAGCTAATGATGAGGGAAGTAAAGATCAATTGGTCCCTTTAAATGGCACTCTCCTCTTTTGACTTGTGAAACAGGTAGGATCTTGTCTACCTCTTTCTTGTACAGTTTTCTCAAGTATCTGGTACTTGCTCTTGTTGGATGCAGAGCATATGCCAGTTCCATTGTTTTTACTGTGGGGTAAAAGAGTTAAAACTGGTGAATCCTGGTTCTTTCAATTAAAAACCAACGATGGAGGGAGTATGCTAAAGGAGTTTTATACTTTAAAATGTATAAGGTAGCTTGAGAGGTGATACTTGAGTTGCACTTTACTGGGAGTACCTTCAAGCCTGTTGCTTTCCTCATCCTGTTCACTATGTGATCACACCTTTCTTTTTATGGCAGAGTGCTAGGAATAGTTTTATGATCTCTTTCCTTTGAGAATGGACCAAGTAAATAGTTTGGGAGCCACCCTGAGACAAAGCCAGCTGACAAACTTGTGAACAGGCAACAATTTTATTTCAGGCCTGATCTACAAGTCTTGATGTGGCTGGGCAATCTAAACCATGAAAATAATTCGAGTTTGTGAAATTACTTGCTGGGAGACTAAGGAATTTTCTTCTTTTGTGCCTAGCCTAGAGTTTTTGTCATATACCTGTGGCAAGTCAAAACTGAAGTCTTATTCCTATTAACTATTCTGTTGTAAAACCAATACATACTGTAGAGTTTACTTCTGGAGTCTGGTCATTTATTTTAAGCTTCTGTTTATAGCTAATCACACTTTTCCTTATTATGAATGAGTTAATTTGTTTCACTTGCATTTAGGAGCTTCTTGACAAATTCTCCAATATGGGGAAGAGGTGTGAGTGTCTCTCTACGGTGTCTCTTAAGCTGAAGAGTGAACTGAATAGTCAGAAGGCACTGATAGCTGTGATACTGCCTCAGCTTTCCTTGGCAGAGAGTAAACAAGTCAAAAGACTTCAAACTGAAAACGAGAAACTAAATGGTCATCTCCAGAGTTTATTGAACAAACTGAAGGTACCAATATGCAGATGCTTCATATTGCTTGAGTTTGGTTCTTTTTTTAATAAGTTCTCAATATTAACAGCTACGATTTTATGTACTATAGCTTTGATTTTTGTGAAAAATATTTGATATTGTAGAAAATAAGCTGATAGTAGTAAATGTTTTACAATCTCAGGCAACTGGGACCGCTTAGTTATGTTAATCAGTCTTAGCTTTTGACTGTAGTCCAGCTGCTTTGCACAGTATTATTTTATTAATATAATTCCATTTCAATTAGGAATTGAATTTTTTTTCTGTACTCCATAAATCAAATTATAGATGATTTATAGTGTATTTCTTTGTGGGGGAAAGAGATGTGCAAGTTGCACTGGAGATGCACATTTACCCAGCAAAACTAGCCAAGTAGGTTGATTTTAAAGTCTTGCAGACCTTCCTCAAATTATAATCAGTTTCTTCATTGAACTATAATTATCAGAAAAAAGTTAAGGTTAATTGGGAGAGTATTCCTGTTACCATGTGCAGAAGTACAGTAAATGGTAATGGTTTTTCTGTTTCTTTATTTACCATGAAATATTAAGGATTAGGTTGTGGGTTTTTTTTGTTGGGGGGGAGGGAAAAACATGGATGGACCTGGGGAGAGAGGGTGAGGTTCATGTCCAGTTTACAAAAAACACTGGACATGATCTTGAGAGTCAGTCATGTCTGTAGATATCCAATAACTACGAAGTTGAACTAATATTCCAAAGCACCTTATTTTATAACTTCAAAGAGGGGGGGTTAGGTTTGATTTTATTTTTATTTTTTTTTCCCCGTAGATGGCTTTTAACTTTAATGGTTAAAGGTGTTTAGGACATTCAACTAGTAATCTCAACTAGAACAAAATTTTTAAATCATCGCACTGGTATTATACTCATAGGTCATCTGCACCTTTCACAACTCTAAGAGGAAATAAATGTTGCAAAAATTAGTTTGCTTTTCAAAGCTGACATTCATGGAAGGCTGTCTAGAGCCTTTTAGACTTTTTGGCCTTTTCAGGAGTCTACGAAAAATGGTACACTGGAAAAAATGCTGTCTCAGCTAAAACTCTTATATGCCATTGCTATAAAACACATGAACCTAATTTTCTTAGTCATGTGTTAATTATTCTGGACACCCATAGGCTGGGAGAGTAAATAGATTAAATTGTAACATATGGGATTTTAGCTGGATTCAGGGTACTGTTTTAAAGCATGCTCACTGATACATCCTGTGCTTCTACAACAGTTTATGTTCAGTCGTGTTTGTGCAAAGAAAAGAGACTATCATACTACTGTTAACAAGTATAAAATGGAATTGCTTGAGGAAAAGAGAAGACAAGATCATCTACAAGCTGAGATTCAGAATCTCAGGAAGAGTCATTTGAACCAGAATGAAACACTGTCTCAAGAATTAAACAGCAGTGAAGGGCTGCAGAGTTTCCACTTGGATGCAGAGGTAATATTTGAAAAAAAAATGCAGATATTAAACACTTCACCTTTCAAGGCATGGGGTAATGTGGTGCTGCTCATTGAATGGCATTAGGCTTATCTGTCAAGACTTCACTTAAGGAGGATGAAGGAATAGAGTTAGTATTTTTTTATGCTACTAGTTCTATAATGTGAAGATTCCATTTGGTAAAGTGACTGAAAACAAAATTATTAGGTTAGAAAATACTGGGAATGTTATTTACTCATTTGCCCTGTAAAATACATACTGCCCAGTACCAAGATGACTTTTAGAACAATGAAATCAACTTTTACTTTTTCCCCTTCCCACCTGCCCCAGCAATGTCCTCTCATTTTCCCAGTAGGGTGTAATGTAGAGCAAAACTCCTTTTATGAGAAATAGATGCTAAACCAGACTTCTTGCTGTATTGACAGCTAAGAGGACAGAATGTATATTCAGACACATGGTTATCAAAGCAATATTTAAATTTTAATTCCCTTTTTTTAAGAGCATTCTCAAAGATGTATCAGAAATGGAAAGTGAACTTCTCTGTATAGAGGCAGAGTTACAGCAGCAAGAAAGTGCTAGAAAAGAAACAGTACAGTTCTGGGAATCATGTTCAGCAACTCACTGTAATGCAGAGGAACTGGAAGAAGAGTTAAAGAAAGATACTGAAAGGCTTTTGCAAGTCATTAACTTCTGGACTCCTAAAGTAAAGGTAAAATTAAATGTTATAGAATCAGAAATGTGTTTGGTATAAGCACTCTGTAAATGCCTAATCTGATCGAAAACAAAACACCCAAAGGCTCTGGAATGATTATTCATTTATTAACAGCACTTACTACACTCTTATTTTACTGTGAGATGTAAGAGTACTTAAAAGATTTTTAGAGATTTCCTCATTCATCGAAACTTGGAAACTTGCCTTGTCAAGGATTTTCTAGGCAATAAGTGGGAGGGGTGGTGGGCTTGTTTATTTGGGGTCGTCTTAGTCTGAATTCTGGAAACTGTAGGTTCAAAATTGTTATATCATTATATATGATATATATGATATATAATGATATATCAATATATAATTGTTTATCAAAACTACTTTAGCCATTTTTAAAACTCAATTGTAATTCATATTACACTTTTCTAATTTCAAAAAGTCAAGTTGTTCTAGAGGTGGTGCAGCTTTCCTTTCTCTTTTCTTTCTTCTTACATCTTGCCTCCTTTGGAAAATACGACAGCATTTTTCAGGGTTAACTGCATCATGAATGGGATTTCATGAGATTTCATCTTTCTGATTAAATGTTAAGTTTGGCCTATTTTGAAAAGTTTCTTCTGTAGAATCAATAGCCAGTCTTGACTTCCTCAGGATTTCCCAGTGTCAGCAAGCTTTTTGGAAGAATGCTCTGACCAGGCATATTATGGGGATCAAAGCTTTTAACAAACAAAAATCTCGTACATTTGTAATTTCCTCACAAGTATGAAGTCTTTCTTTGTCTGACATATTACAGATATGGGTTTCTAGAATAGCCCAATGTGTATATTTTGTCTAATGGTTTAACTTCCTTCAGTCAATGACTATGTTCTAGCAAAAAATTCTGAATAATTGTGTTTCTTTCCAATATATTGCTTTGTTTCTGTAATAGTGCTTGAGTTAATGCAGAAATGCTGGTAATCCTGCAATACATTATCATCTTCTCTTCTGGAAATGAAACCATTCTTATGAGTGTTAGTGATTACATTTCTGATAGCAAGCATTTTCAAATGGGACACTGAAACAAGAATGTGAAATTAATATAGGCCAAGGTACCTCCTGGTTTTTTACTTGTCTTATTTCTAGCTGATTCAGAAATTATTTAAAATTTTATCTCTATGATGCTACTGCAGATGCTCCTTCAGCTTTCTTCAGAACTGGATGCCAGAATTTGCAATGACAGTCAAAATGCTGATGTTGAATTGAAACAGAGAAAAGAGAAAAATGAAGAGTTGCTTCAGGACCTAAACACTCTAAAAGAAAAACTGGCCCCTGATAGCTCTGCCAGTCTCATGCTAAAAGAAGAAAACGAGAGGCTTCATAATAAATTAAAGGCTGCAGAACAAGATATAAAGGTACCAACGCTTCTTTCTAAGGAAAACTTCTTTGATTCTTGCTTTCTAAGTGAGGGTACTCTAAAGTGAAAATAAAGATTGATTGGCAACTATAAATCTCTGCCATCACAACATATTGGCCCAGAGTGTACATATTAGTAGCTTTGCTTTTTTCAAAGTTCAAGTTTGAGCTCTTGCCTATAATGTATTTTAATTACCTGACTTCTGTACACAAATAGATGTCACTTTAGAAGTTCCTATGAAATGTTTTCATCTGGTTTTGAAGTATTGATTTTAACAATGTGATACTCTGGATGCTCCCTGTAAGTATATGGTATTCGCTATGTCAAACGAGAAGCTGGAGAAAAGGTCTCTCTAATCATAGGAGTCATTGAGGACTCATTTTCTCTTTCCTATTTTTCATGTCATGGTTACCCTTCTTCAAAACTTTTTTTCTGTTCTTAGACTTGAGTGTTCCAGACTATTAAAAGGTGACACGAAATAGTGATCTAGACACAAAGAGTTGCCATAGAACCTGTAGTGTTGGATTTTTTTGTGTGGTTTGGTTTTTATTTTGTTTTGCTAAGAATATGACTGTGTGCTGTTACAGCTACTGTCTCTTGACATAACTACTCATAACTGATTGATATATCTCAATAGGCTATGGAAGTAAAAATTCAGAAGTTGGAAAATGTAATAAATGAAGTAGGAGAAAATGTCAAAGAGAAAGATGAGAGAATAAACGAGTTACAAGCACAGATAAGTATAAAAACAGAAACAAGTGAGCTCACCCAACTGCAAGCCAAACTGAACGAGAAGGATAAGTGCCTCAGGACTGCCTTAACAGAGAATCAGAGTCTTCAGGTATGAGCAAAATTCTCATTTTCCTCTGGTGAAAGACAAAAAGCATGCTTGAGAACTAGATGAAACGTAGTGCTTGAAACTCAATGTACTGTTCTGTATGGCATTCCTAGAGTAAAACGCTCTATTTGCATGCTTAGCATGCAGTTTCATATTTCACCAGTGCAACCTTCAGAGGCAAAATTTACAACCCGTACTATAATATTAGAAGGTAAATTTGTAATGCATTTGTGAAATGTTCTCAAAAAATTTAAAACTTTTAAACTGAAGCCTGATCTGCATTTTCAATGTAATATATTTGCACACTAGTCCAAAATTCCCAGACTTACATCTGCACACAAGTCAGCAAAACTTGCTAAAATATGATTGCATGTAATACATGAGAGTAGGATACCGACTGCTACTATAGTGCTGGTTGGTAACGTGGGCCACCCTAGTGGAAATAACTTCCTGCTCCCATTCTTGTCCTGCAAAATCCAGCAGATCATGGTAAAGATACAAGGTAAACAACCCTTAATTTAATTGTTAGGTAACAAGCCTTTCTTTGTACTAAATATTCTCATTTCAGGCAAAATTAGATAAAGGTTCCGAGCTGTACAAAGAAGAAATTGATAATCTCAAAACACAGTTGGTAAAATTTGATATGGAAAGAATGAAACAATCCAACTTCTTTGAAATGAAGTAAGTTCAAATTTTGTGTTGCTGCTTTGTTCTTAACTTCTGCTTCTCTATTTTCCCACATAATAAGAAGCAAGCATTAAGCTTTAGCTGTCATAGGTTTTTATTGTGTCTAGATTCCAGAAAAAGTAAAATCTATATTCACCTTAGGTTGCTTACACAACTCCTTTCCTATACACTCACCAAAATTTCTCAACCAACCGTGTTCAGCCATAAATGAAACAACTGTTCTGACAAAAGGAGGCAAGGGGAAAGCAGTAATTGCAAGCACTTTCTAATTCACTAGAAAGGAGGGATATAGAGAATATAGAGGGATATATAGAGAATAATTAGTCCAACTTTTGGGTTTGTGCACTTTACCTAAAATCTGACAACCAGGTTTATGTAGTTTTTCTTGTGTAACTTGGGGGTGTCTTGTATTTGATAGCTCATTGGAATTCAAACTATCTCTTCTGCAACTGTAATAACTATTAAACTGAGGTTTTCTGTTTTGTTTGTTTTTCCCTCCTTCCTCCCTCATAGACTTGCTAATTATAAAGCTCTTGCAGAACACCGAGAACAAGAGTTAATGAAACTAAAAGAAGAACTTAGAAGAGCACACCAAGACCAAGATGTTACTGGTAAATTCAAGATAAATAGAAGGGACTCTTGACATTAAGTTTTGAGGTTATATAGTTAAAGATGAGATTGAGATGCAGGCCTTGTACCTCAAATGCCTTGAGGAGAATTGGGTGCACTGAAAGAGGAGATGGAAAGCAGACTACATTAGCTCAAGATACACTGCATTAGAATGACAGCAGTTCTTGTGTTTACTTCCCTGGCCACATTTGCCCTTGTGGAGAGACAAGCTGCAGTGGTCGTAGCTCATGTTGCCATTTTTTCCTTGACTGACTGCACATATGAATAGCTCGTTCTAGTCATAGTTATGACATACCTGAAACAATAAGTATTTTAAGTCTAAGTGGCCCAATGAAGCATCTTATGTTTCTTAGTATCTCCCTGGCAGTGGGAATACTGGGAGGTGTGTTTGTGTAGAAGAAAAGAGTAGCTGTTGTAATAGCACTTGGAACCTAGGGAGGTTTTACATATAAGACCACAAGAATGAACGGGCTAAAAAGTATATTGACTTGGTTTTAAGCCCTGTCCAAACAATGCACACACGTCTGTATAAAATTGTTTTTTCTAGTGCTGAAAGAAGCAGCTCCTCAGCAATCCCAAATACCCCTTACTTGTGGTGGTGGCAGTGGTATTGTGCAGAGCACACAAATACTTGTTCTAAAATCTGAGCAAGCAAAGATACAGAAAGAAAACTTGCACCTGAAGAAACAAAATGACCTTCTACTAAGGTAAGTGTAAAGCTGACCAGCAAAATGTCAAAATATCTGTTGTATTTAACTGTGCATGTTATTAGTGTTTCTTTCTCGGACACCTATAGAAATGACTAATCACTAACTTTAGATTTTCTAGATTTTTTCACTTCATACATTTTTACTTAAAGCTTGTGATTTATGGCTTATAAACTTTGAAATGGCTTTGGAACTTTCAATTGCTTACTTTCATAAGAATCTCCTAAATTGTACGCTGGAAAGAATTTTAGCTTAAAAAAAAATTTCCTCTGAAAGCAAGACACACAGCTATTGCATTGCCATGTCTGTAGTATGTCATCTGAAAGTATAGGAACTGTCTGTTGTTCAGGAATTTTTCCTTAAAGGAACTGTCTTTTTTTTTTTTTTCTTAATTAAATGCTGGGGTTTTTTTTCTTTGCAGTAATGAGCGTCAGCTGAAAGAGGAACTCAGGAAATGGAAAGAAAGAGCATTAAAATGGAGAGAACGATCCTCAAGAGAAAACATAAGAGAGACAATACCACAGTCTCCAAGGAAGGCAGTGTCATATTTCTTTAAAGAACAAATCCCTTCACCCTCCAAGGAACCTATTTCTCAGGAAATTGCGACTCAGGACCTATCAAAGCCTCTGCCACTGACTTGTCCAACAAATTTCTTTGATAATTCTAGCTTGGGTGTGCTAACAGGTATGTAACATAGTGGTATTGTCCTGTAAAGATTTGGAGAGGCAAAATGTAAGGGATGGTCTGAGTTGAGGGTAAATGCTCGGTACTTATATATTCAGACCTGAAACTTGCACAATAACACAGTTTTCCTGAATGGTTAGTCAGCTGACTGTTGAAAAGCTGACCATGGGAGCTGTGAGGCTTATATATGCTCTACATAACAGAAATATTTAAATGAATCATTCACTTACTGAAGATTATACAAACTTCTTTCTTTTCTGCAGTGCAAATATTGATGACTGGGTTTTAAAAGTGAAACAGCAAAATATCATTTTTTAGATAATGATGCTCTAAAATGTTTTGCTTTTTAACTTTACATTGGTTAAGCACAGGCTTCTGGTAAAATTACTGAAAGTTAACGGCTGGTTAACTTTTTGCTGAAGTTATTCAAGATGGTAGGCTTTAGTCTTTGATGTTGCATCTGCTACACTGCTGGGCTCCAGCTGCAGTAACAGCAGTTTTGATGGTGACTTCTGTTCCTCAGCCCCACTCTGGATTTCTTTTATCTGGCCTGGTGACTTCTGGGGAAGTCAACTCCTAATGAGAGAGGAGAGTGGTCTCTGTTAGTGTATTATTGCTACTGCCCTCATCATTACACTTGCTTCTCACAGCTTTCAGAAGGCCCCAGCAGACATGTTGAAGAGTTAGCCCATTTCTGAGGTATCAGTAGCAGACTCCCAGAAAGAACATGACTCATTGCTGCTTTTGTGATGGCCACCTTGGTAATAGTACAGCGTTCCTCACAACACAAAGCTACTCAGGGGAAGCTCTGATAGTTGATATGTAACACACCAGTCAAGATTAAATCACTGTATTCCTACAGCTTGTCTAATTGAGAAAGGCTTTAATGTTCTTCTCTTCTGTACAGATACATGTCCTGCGGCCACACAGTCCACAGAAGAACATCTTAAGCACTTGTTTGGGACTTCAGACAAAGATAAGGCCCCTGATTGCAGCACCCAGTAACGATGCTCTGTTGTAAGCTGCCTTTGCAGTGGCTACAGCCAGAATCTGCACATACAAAAGATAATTGCTTCAGGTTAAAAGCCATCAGCCTCTTCCATCCTTGCTGTCTTGGAGTTGCTACTGGAATTTGAGGACCAAATGGAAAAGCAGTCATGTTGCCCACAACCTGCTTATCTGAT